TTATAATGTTATCTAAACAGTGTCCGAATATTAGCAAGAGTCACTGTATATACCCTTTTTTTTCATTAAACGTCTCAATTGTAAAATTACGTAGTATCGGGGCCTCCTTACACAAAAAGGGAAACTAACAAGGAAAAATAGAGAGGGAGTTGTTGGCGCAGTGGGCAAAGTCTCGGATTGCCAACCTTGAGGTCGCGGGTTCGATTCCCGGTTGGGGTCCCTCAAAATTTTTCCTCGATTCTTACAATTACGATAAAATAAAGGATCGATCAATGAACAATTAAACATAACACACGATTGATAATTTTCAGGTCGTACTTGATTCTTGGACAAGAGAGCGACGGCGGAGGTCAAGGTGGGCTGACAGTAACGCAGAGATCGATTGTAATCGAGTGGCGGGACGAGTGGCATCGCCGAATGCGACGCTTCCAGCGAAGGGCGAGATCGTGCCATTGAACTAATTCTCCTCACACCAAGGAAATTTAGACGGAGAAAGAGGGGGAAGAATATAGAGACAAAGCAGCGGAGAAAACGAGAGAAAATATAAGATAAAAGAAACAAGAGAGATAGAGAAACTAGAAGTTTGAACCCTTGGCTCGTATTATATGTAGGAAAAGGTGTACACGTTCATTTTCAAAACTGCCAACAAACTATGTATGTACTCTCGCATACCCTATACTTTTCCCATGAAATACTCGACAACGTCCTAAGATTAATGATAAGTAACGAAGAAACGCAAAATAAAGTGAAATGCAAGTGAGATTTCCGAATATCAACGTTGGACGTAACCCGCAGATATCGAATTCGTGTTCTGTACAGAGACTTTTTCTTTCAATTCGTTAAGATAAAAGTCGAACGACGTTTATACAGTAAATCAATTTTTATTTGTTCCATGAAGAACCGTTAACCGTTGTTTAATTATTTACGTTTATTCATTTCTTGAGTATTTTTAATTTGTGTAATCGAACGTTTCGTGATATAGTTAGAAATGCTTATAGGTAGAAGTGTTTTACCTCGAACATTGTTTTACTAAATAAAAACACTTTAATAGTAAACGTTCCCTTAAAATAGTCTTTTTTTTCTTTTCGTGAAATAAACTAATTCGTGTGTATATCAAAGAGCAATAAAATTCGTAAAAATACAGAAAATGTGAATCATTAAACTGCCAATGATGTTAATTAGAAACTATTCCGTTGAATTGCAATATTTCACGACTCGAAAATTTATTTAAAAATAAAGTTTGCTATATTTATCGAATAAGACTAACATTGTTAAAACAATTTTTTTTTAATGTTTTCTTAGATGTTTTTGAGTAAATCATCTAAAACTAGAACCTACAATATCCGCATTATTTTCGATGATATGAAATAAAATCTAAGAAAACT